CAAAACCCCAAAACCCCAAAACCCCAAAACCCCAAAACCCCAGTCTTTCGACCAATGATTGAAATCTTAAAATTGTGTGAGAAGAAATGTTTACCTCTTGCTCATCTTATAGCTTGGGTCAAAATCCTCAACTTTGGGCTTGGGGATTCTCTTCTTTAGATTCTTGACTTCTCTCAGCAAATCAAAGGACCTAAGCGGATTATTAGAATCATTTTACTTATTATTCTTCAGTGATTTGCTATTATAACTATAAAATTACCAGCAGTATTACTTTTTGTTACTAGAAGTCAGGACGTCAACAGAGGTGTTCTTCATAGTCTGATCATTCCTTGGCTTCACTTGTCGGACATCATGTCTTATTTTTGGCATCGCCCTTCTGTTCTTCAAGTATGGCAGATGTATCTTCTGCTTCATAGCTGGCTTATTATAGGGATTGTAGAGATCGATGTCCTTTGCATAATTTAGGCTTTCATTAGGCGATAGGGACACGATACTTACACTCTTTTTGCCTCTATTAATATGTGAATTTGACCGATCGATACTGGGGTATTTCTCCATTCTTGGCTTACTAATGTAAGCCATTCCTATCCTAGACTTCTGCTTCTTGATTCTTTTTCCAGAGTACTTGTGTATCTAGGCTGTTAGGATCAACCCTTACGCTGAGATTATTATTTTTCCTTCCTCCAACTCTATGCTTCTCTGAAGCTAGAGAGATGCTAATCTTGCTTCTCCCTGGGATGCTGTATTTCTTCAAGTCTGAAACAACATTCTTCCTTTCTAAATAAAAATATTCGAGGGAAATTACTGCTATTTCTCTGGCTAGTTTTATCAATCTCTTCAGAAGCTGCAAGTATCTGCATTACCGAGTTGAACCGCTCATTATTATCAATCAGTTTGGAATGCCTCTGCTTTGGTCTAGACTTAGACATGTTCTTTTTCTTGTCCATTGAGGTCACGACTACGAGAGAGTTATTGCGGCTCAGCTCTTCTGACTCGTTCGGGACCCTATTGGGGATCTTGTCTTCCTTTTCAATCTTTAAATTTGGATTCATATCCGGCTTTACAAGGTTTTTTATCCTCTGAATTTTGATCTTCGAGTCACTACTGTTATTGATCATCCCTTTCTCACGTCTGGAAGATAGCTTGTTGACCTTCCCTGAGGAATAGTCAGCTTTCGAGCTATAGATATTATCGTATTCTTCAGGAGGAGACAACAAGCCTTTCTCATGAAGATTCGTATCAATAGAGTAGCTGTTGTCAGCTTTTCCTATAAACTTATCAAAATCTATTAGTTGAGAATTTACCTTTTTCGTAAGCATGATTGTAAGAGTAATCACTATAACTACTAGATTTTGACATGCTATCTTTTCTACGCTTGACCTTAATGGTATTGCCCTTTTTCAAGGAACTTTTCTCAATGGTGGGAAGCGAGTCTTTAGTGTCCTCCTTCATGTTAAAATACTTAGTGTTCAGCGACTCATCATCAGTTCCTCCATCATCCTCATAAGTTGATTTTGGCAATCTTTCGGTCAAATAAGTCAGCTTTTTAGGGATGTAAATTGTTTGAAGAAGTACATCTTCATTGTCCTTTATCTCATTAGGGAATAAAGTGTCCAGACGTGAGGATATAATACTTGTGTTTAGTATCTGCTTACAGCTAGGCCTCTTATTTGGAGAAACCTTCAGCATCGCTTTAATTATCAAAGATAGATCTCCTGAAAAATATTTAGGAATTTTAGGATAAAGTCCTCTCAAAACCTTATTTATACAGTCCTTCCATATCATCTGCTCTAAATGGGGGCTTTAGGCTGATAGATTCATACAGAACACAACCAAGAGACCAGATATCACTTTTAAAGTCATAAGGCTTATCTTGCCAAACTTCAGGAGATGCATAATACGGAGTACCAGTTTGAGTATATCCAAGACCTTGCTTAACTACTTTGGAAACATTGAGATCACCTAATTTAGCAGTACCGTCCTTATACAGGAAGACATTAGCACTTTTCAAATCACGATGCATGATTTTCAAATCATGGAGGGCCTTGAGGCCTCGTATAATTTGTATAAAAGTCCTCCAGATTTCTTCCTCACTAATATATTTCTTACTCTTCTGGTGTTTTCTAATTTTTATTGGAATAAGTCTCCATTGTCAGCATACTCCATAATAATGCATAAGCTCTGGGAGGCCTCATCAAAGAATCCTTGTTTATAAGAGATGACATATTTGTTATTAATTGAGGCTAAAATTCTGACTTCGTTAAGAGCATTTTCCTTTTCTTTCTCAGAGAGGTTGGTCAGTCGGACTTTATTTTAATGCATATTTCTGGTTATCAACTTTTCTCTCGACCATGTAGACGTTACTATAGGCGCCCTCGCCTAGCTTATCGTACAGGTTGAAGTCAGAAAGAGACATTAGATAAAGATGAATATATTTCAAGGAAATAATTTAAACAAGGGGTTTTGGGGTTTTGGGGTTTTGGGGTTTTGGGGTTTTGGGGTTT